CCACATAGCCCACCTGAGAGTCCGTACAACCCACCTGAGAGTCTGCACAGCCCACCTAGAGCCCGCAGAGTCCACCTGAGAGTGTGCAGAGCCGGTAGACAGGCCTGGATTTCCCACAAGGCCTCGGGGCATAAAGAAACAGTAAAAAAAAAAAATTGAAACTAACCCCGCCGCCATCTGGTTGACATTCACAATTGATGGGGAGGACGGTTGGCGGCACGCGGGGGGCGTATTGTGGAACCTGGCCTTGGGGCGGCAGGGAGAGTAAATACGGCCCTGTTCGCAGAGTCCACCTGAGAGTGTGTACAGCCCTGGTGAGAGCCCACAGAGTCCACCTGAGAGCCCGCAGAGTCCACCTGAGATCATGCACAGCCCTGATGAGAGCCCACAGAGTCCACCTGAGAACCTGCAGAGTCCACCTGAGAGTGTGCACAGCCCTGGTGTGAACCCACAGAGTCCACCTGAGAACCTGCAGAGTCCACCTGAGATCATGCACAGCCCTGGTGAGTGCCCACATAGGCCACTTGAGATCCTAGAGACATCAGGCTTCCACCCTGGAACAACACAGAGTATGTAGCTGCATTATATTTTGTATTGCTGTATAATGTATTGCTGGGATTTGTAGTCCTCTATAGCCAATCTTCTTACTCCCTCCCCTGGCTGCCTCTCCTCACTCTCTCCACTATATTCTCAACAAAAAAAAACAATTGCCACGCGCGGCGCTAGAGTGTTCAGTTTTCACGTGAAGAAAAGCTGGCAACCTTAGTGCATGTGAATGCGCACTTACGCTGACTCGTCCAAATCTCCAATTATGTCACTTCCGGTGACTTGCCAGCAGGAGATCCGGGCGAGATGGCGTCAGTGCCATTGGTCATTGGTAAGAGTTCCCTTAGACCTGAAAAATATCTTGAGGGTTCCTTCTGGGGGGGAAGAGGTTGAGAAAGGCTCTGTAGGCCTGTTGACCCTTGTTGATGTCTTCTATGTATGATCCCATGACACCTACGTGTGTTGCCCAGCAGGTGTAATTGGTGTAGATTAAAGGAGTGTTGTCAGCACTTCTCTGTAATCCCTCAACTTCAAAATGACTCCAATTAGCTTTATAGTAACCGCAGGTGACCAGACATGTCTGTATTGTAATTACATGTAAGTCGGCACGTCCAGAAGATTTTCCGTAAAATGAGATCACCGGCCAAACCTGTTACTTTCTGCGTGAAGGTTAAAGCAGAACTCCGAATTCATATTTTGAAGACGCCATTTATTGCAGTCATGTGTTTATTTCTAATGATTCCACATATTTTAAAGTGCTTATGTCATTATATGAAATGTGTGTTTTTTTAACTTCCCATAATGCCACAATGGCAGGAACTCATGGATCTCAATGGAACATAAGTGTGGTGATGTCACCATATGTCATCACAGGGACTCAGATTTAAATGGAGCATTAGTGTATTGATGTCACCATCTGCCATCACAGCAGAGAGACTCATAGATCTGAATGGAGTACGAGTGCGCTGACATCACCACAGAACTCCGACTTCATATTTAGAACAGGCCATTTATTGCAGTCATGTGTTTATTTCTAATGATTCAACATAATTTAAAGTGCTTATGTCATTACATGAAATGTGTGTTTTTATTAACTTCCGCTTATGCCCTGCACAGGACATGTCAGTCCGAGAGTAGGATTGCCCTCATGGTAACCCAAATAGGCTCTATCACACTGTGCCTCATTTCCATCCTAACTTTTTCAGGTACTGGAGGCTGGAGGGAGAAATCAGATGAACAAGATGAGGAGGGTGAGAGCACCAAACCAGCGCCCAAAGCTTGGGCTTTACTTTACAAGAATACTCCACCTTTCTGACCATGTCGCATGCTACAACTATATTTAGGGTTTAACATGAAGCATGGTCTGTTTCTCCCTGGAGTGACCTGTGTATATTTGAATTTGGCGCATCTGTGGGTGGTCTGGCCTACAAAGCCAGGTCATTCATTCACAGATCCATTCACAGGAAAAGCTGCACATCCCATCTGCCATCCTTGAAGACGGACTGGTAGATTCCAATGGAGCACAAGAGCGGCAACGTCACCATTTGCCATCACGGCAGAGGGACCCATAGATCTCAGTGAAACACAAGTGTGTTGACATCACTGCACTTGTAGTACTTTGATATCACGGCAGAGGGACTTGTAGATCTCAGTGGAGCTCAAGTGTATTGATGCCACCATATGCCATCATGGCAGCGACTTATAGATCTTAATGGAGCACAAAGGCGGAAATGTCACTGCCCTTGCAGTCTACTGATCACCTTCTCCAACCCCAAACCAAAGATCAATACCTGGGGGAGGGGCAGTCTTGAGGAGCCTGTTATTGCCCACCAGTCTACTGACCATGGTTGCAATGCTTAGCAGGTATGCTCAGAAACAATGATTGCACATGTTTTCTTTCATCAATATGTGTGCATTTATTTTTTTATTTTCCTTAGGGTGGACTATGCCTTTAAAAATCCCTACAACAACCAAAAATGACAGCTCATCATACAATATGTGAACAAATAGCCATGGCTGCAGCCATTTATCATCAGCACACTGCGTGTCTCTTTACTGTGGTCACCAAGTTACTAAAGAAACACTGGCACTGGGAGGGAGGGACATCGCATACAGACAAGGTTTGCCTCTCTCGGGCTGCTGTAGTGTCATGACGTCAGAGGTCAGCTGATCACAGACGAGCAGCTCAACCGGCAACAGTGTATGAGGCTCCAGTGTGAGTGCGGGAGGGAGGGGAGCGGGGTGCCCTGGCAGAGGCGCCTGGCAGAGTGCGGGGGTGGCCCATACGTGGGTGGTCTGTGCCTGGGATTCATTGTGATAGCAGCGGGCTGTGATCGGAGCCTGCACACTATACACTGACCGCGATCAGCAGCTGCACATCAAGGTAAACTTGTCCCTTCCCTGCCATCGCCGTGCACTGATTTCCCACCGACCACCATTTGTATCACATTACAAGGAGATACATTGTAGCTGCGAGCTGATAGAACTGAACACATCATGTAGAACATTTTCTGCCCTGTGGTCCCCTGTGTGTGCTAAGCTGTGATGGGGGTTGTTTGTTTTCTGGATGCAGGGTTTGGATACATTTTGATGTATGTAGAAAGCTAAAACTTTTATTTGTTTGTTTGGATATAGTGAGGAATATAGTAGGGAATGGTTAAAGCCCATCCCTGGGGGAAAACAAAAAACCTTCCCTTGCAGTGCAAGGTTTAAATGCTGGTTTAGGAGATCTGGAAAAGCAGTTTTAATTACCCAATTTCCCCCCCCCCCTCTAGTAGGCACTTTCTTCATCTCCCCCCCTTGTGGTAGGCCCTTTCTTCATTTCCTTCTCTCCTGGTGGTAGGCACTTTCTTCATTTCCTTTCCCCCGGTGGCAGGCGTCTTCTTCCTTTTCCTTTTACCCCCGGTGGTAGGTGTCTTCTTCCTTTTTCCTTTTACCCCCGGTGCTAGGGGCTTTCTTCCTTTTTCCTTTTACCCCCGGTGCTAGGGGCTTTCTTCCTTTCCTTTTACCCCCGGTGCTAGGGGCTTTCTTCCTTTCCTTTTACCCCCGGTGCTAGGGGCTTTCTTCCTTTCCTTTTACCCCCGGTGCTAGGGGCTTTCTTCCTTTCCTTTTACCCCCGGTGCTAGGGGCTTTCTTCCTTTCCTTTCCTTTTACCCCCGGTGCTAGGGGCTTTCTTCATCTCGCTCTCTCGCAGGGGTGTGGAGGCTTTCTTCATCTCCAGCTGGTAGAGGCTTTCTTCATCTCTTGCTCTCCCAGTGGTAGGTTCTTTCTGATCCCCCTGCTCCCCTGTTGGTAGGATTCCCTCATCTCCTGAAGAAGAGGAGGCTGCGATGCCTCTGAGATCATTAAAGGGAATGTTTCACTAAATTGCTTAACAGTTATTTTTCAAAATGAAAAAAGATTTTTGCTTTAACTAGGAAGGCTACGTCATCAGCGCTTTCCAGGGAGATCTCACGGGGCAAAGCTTTTTTGTTTTGTTCAATAAATTAGTGGGATGACATGTGCCTGATCTCACGCATGTGCCTATGTCACACTCCACATATACACTCCACATATATATAGCTGTTTGCCTGGAGTTCAGCTTTAAGCATAGCATTTCAGATGCTTCTCAAATGCCTGCTATAAACTGGCACTCCTAGTGAACTAGCCACAAATCTGGGTGACTCAAAATGATCACATGCTGAAAACATACATTCACAGTAAAAAAAAAAAATGCTTGTCAAAATTATAAGATCGAGAAGAAATATTGGCTGACGTATACAAATCTCTTCTTCCCACCTCCCATTAACCTCCTCATTGGCCAGTAAGGTTGCCTATCATATTAAGGGTCCAACATGAAGGCCACATGGACTGAAGGAGGTGAGGGCAAGCTAACATTTACAGGAAAGAATAAAGATTTGCATTTTACTTCTACTGCTTGTACCTTATGGCCTTTTGATCAATATGACATATTTAAGGCTTCCTATGGTAAATGTGTTGAAATATTAAAAGCATGGATCTTCTCAGGAGCCATCCTTTAAAGTCCGGTACAGTCAGCAACATTGTGAGTATTTTTATAGCTTATGTCCTATATTTGTTGTATTAACACTTTTTTTTTTGTTTTTTGCAGGTATCACATCTCCGTGACTCAGTGAAGAAGAAACATTGGCTACCATTCTTGGAAATCTTATTAACTTGATGAATTGGTGTTTTACGAGACAATGGCTACCTAAAGCAAGCCGGATTATGTTTATGGGAAAATCAGAACATATTATTGCATAGTTTCTTGTGCAAAATGATTTTATTTGCAGCTGGTTTTATTGTTCAAGTTAATATTTACAGCTGGATGAAATTACGAGGTAGCCCTTTAGGGCCACCTCAACACCTGGCTTTGTCGTCATGTAGCCTGTGAAGTTCTTTTGATTGCTAAAGGAAACAAATAGTCTACCATAGGTGGATACAGCTGTGGCAAAGATATGGAGGTCCATGTTACCCGTGTGGCGCCCTTTGCCAGTAATGGAGATATTGCTCCGTTACAGACTGGTTCTGCAAGGAGAAGGTCATATACACAAGAGAGCTCCTACAGTGATATATCAAGTGAGTCGTCTACACGACGGACCAGTTCTCAAGTTAGGCCGCGTTCACATGGTCACAAAAACTTGTCGGTTAAAACGGGACACACTCAAGATCATCCATACATTCCTCTGAGTGACAGCAATCTCAGGTGGGGTGTCATTCCTCAAGAGCTGCAGTCGAGACTCCTTGACTTGAAAGACTACAAGTCTAGGACCCATGCCATCGAGGAACTCAAATATCTCATCCAAGACTTTAATTTTAGTTCTGTCTCCCATTCCGATGTGGTTGGCTTTATTAGCTTCTTGTGCACGCTGCTTGACGACAGCAACTTTACCGTCGTCTTAGTCACATTGGATGTTTTGAACTGCTTTGTCTTAAATCTTGGCCAAGGTGTCAAAGAATTTCTCAAACCAGTTATAGCCTCAACGGTCAAACTCCTTGGAGATGGCAAGATCACCGTTAAACAGGAGTACATGAAAATATACATGAGACTGATGAAAGTGGTTGGACCATACAAAGTATTAACTGTCTTGCTTGAAAATCTGAAGCACAAGAACTCTAGAATAAGGGAAGAAGTAGTAAATATTTGTATTGTATCCCTACTAACCTATCCCAGTGAAGATTTCAATTTGCCATTTTTAGCTTGTGAAATTGCTCCGTGTTTGATAGATAGTAAGAGGCGAGTCCGCCATGCAGCTTTGGAGGCCTTTGCTGTATTGGCTGCGTCTATGGGTCCAGGAAAAATTAGTCTGCTCAAAGCGGTTGATGAAGTTGAGCTTCAAGAAAATGGTGAAGGACTAATGAACGCTGTGCAAGCCAGGCTGGCACGGAAGACTCTTCCAAGGATTTCCCCACAAGGTTTGGTAGAGTACGCTCTTCCATTCCCATCCTCAGCTCAAATCCGAGGAACTTATCATTTGCCCGGAGCTGACACCGACTGGCTCTTGACGGGAAACCAAGTTCAAAGTGGACATTATCAAAGCGGTGATCACAGCAGTAGAGGGATTGTCCCTCACATTGATCCCTTAGCTCGTAGAATGTTGAGTGCTGGCAAAGGAAAAAATAAGTTCCCATGGGAAAATCAGTGCCCTGGAGTCACAGATGTATTTACAGGAACTCACACTACGGATCAGGTACATTTTTGTGTGTTTATGTTGAGTTAATGTTTTCTCCCTGTTGGTTTAATTCATTTGTAGTATATCACGCAGCACCTTCCCGAGAGTGGCATGTGCCAATTAATAGTTTGATCTTAAAGAACATGGAAACCTATTATATTGAAAGCTAGTGATGAAATGTGGAGTATCAGAAATGTTTACAAATTCTTTAAGTTTGAAGATCGTATGAGTTTTAAGGCCCAGTCGCATCTTTCTGTACAACTTAATAGACCAAATCAGGGTTTAACCTCTTGCCGTCCGCCCGTAGTAAAAAAACGGACGGACGGCACTGCAGCATCTGCGGGTTGCCGTCTCCAGACGGCAATTTTTTTCTGCTCGCGCGCGCCCCCTAGCGGGCACGCACGGGCAGAAAAGACCCGCTAAATGCACACACCCGTTACCGGGTGTTTCACATATAGGCGATCGGCGGGTCCATAGCCCGCCGATCGCCTATATGTGCTCGTTCGCGGCACCCCCCCTCCGGTCGGCGCTTCCGGTTTCCCCCCCGACCCCTCACCTTGATTCCCGGGATCCGCTGCCCCATCTTGGATCCCGGGACCGGCTCCGAGGGCGTCAGGAGGAGGAGGACGGGAGATCAGCTCCTTGCTGATCCCCGTCCGGGCTGTGAATGCAGAAGTGATGTGTGTTACATCACTTCCGCATTCACCTGTCAGTCATCTGGAGAGAGAAGAAGCTGATAAAGCAGATCTCTGCTTTATCAGCTTCTTTTGGGGTCCATAGGTGATATTAGGGGTCCTAGAGACCCCTAATATCTCCATAAAGAGGACCTGTCAGTGTGCCTTTGCTATTATATAGGGGGTTGTTATCCCCCTATATAATAGCAATAACAATAAGTGCAAAAAAAAAAATATAAATAAAAAAAAAGAAAAGTAACACATAAAAAAATAAAATAAAATAAAAGCCACATATAAAAAAAGGGGAAAAAACCCCCCCAAAATGTTTAACTCCCCCACCCCCACGTTTACGCGCCTATAAACGTAAATACGCGTCCGGTGCCCCAGCGCGCAAAAATTACAATTGCGCTACACATGTTACATATCGCCGCGAACGTCGCAGTGAGAGCAATCATTTTAGGGCCATCAATCACTGATAACACTAAACTGATGAGCGGTAACAGCTTTTAAAGCGTCGCCTAGGGCCAATTTTGGGTATTATCGTTTTTTGAGGTTTCGCGCGCGCACGCAATTTTAAGGCTTGACATGTTTAGTGTCTTTTTACCCGACGTGACCCCATCTTTTATATTTTACCAAAAAATTGGGTAATAATAAATGTTTTATCATTTAATATAGGGGAAACTGTTTTTTTTTTTAAATTTCGGTAATTTTTCCTTAATATAGTAAAAAAATAAAACCCCCAGTGGTGAATAAATACCACCAAAAGAAAGCTCTATCTGTCCCCAAAAAAGGGTATAAAATTTATTTCAGTACAGCGCTGCATGACGGAATAAATGTCAGTCAAAGTACCGCAGCGCTGAATACTGAAAAATGGCCTGGATGGGAAGGGGGTTTAACACCGCGGATGTCAACTGGTTAAGCAAATGTTGGGCCACATAAACTGTTGTCTGTGGAAACTTTTTTTTTTTTAATGCACCAAATAATAGTCCAATCTGAAGGGTCTAAAAAGAAAGTTGTGACTAGTGCATGTCACGAGCTAGGAACCGATGGCACGGTGGATGCTAATTCCGGGACTTGCAGAACAATCTGCGTCACTGGTCACAAGAACTGTAGGGCCACTTGAGTCTCTAGACGCAGAGAGGGCGGGACAGGGTGACTGCACATGGATGCAGATGTGAAAGAGGCTCAGAATCTAAGAAGTGCCTGGTCTTCTCCAGAGCCCCTGAAGGTGGGGATGTTGTGATGCAGGATAGCTTCCAGGTTGTGGCCCTCCTACACACCCGTGCAGACTAGCTAACAAAACTATGGGAAGCAGGACACAGTGGCAAGGGACAGTGCATTACACAGGACAAACACGAAAAAATGGGAACAATCTGCACCAGAACATCAAAAGGGTCTACAGGGAATCCGAGCGGGACAACATAGCGGGCAAAGCACATAGGCTGGAGAAACTGGATTACTAAGATGCACTGGGACACAGTAGAGAGACGTATATTGGAGCAGAGTAGACGCAGCAAGAGGATGCAGGTGAATGGGGAAGAGCAAACACAGGGGAGCAGGGGTGTGTGAACAAGAAACAGAACAGGGAATCAAGAAGTAAAGATGAACACACAGCACACAGGAAATGCAACAGAGGGACACCGGGAAAAACCAAAGGATCACATTAGGAACAACGCATTAATCTAGAACAACAGAGCAGAATAAAGGAAACCGCAATTAGCTACTGGGAACATGGGGTCCGGCTGTTATTGTGGAGACCCGTTGCTCGAACACTTAGCAACAGGTGCTCCATAACACCTAGGTGGAGAGCTGATTGGCAGGAATCCGAGCACTTCGGACAGAAAGCAAAACCCGGTGCTGGATCAGAGAACAGGAAAGCGTGACAGCGCACCAATTGTAAAGACGATCACAAGTGCAACTTTTCGCACAAAATGCCAATGGTTCAGAAAATTAGTTGGGCGCAATAGATGTGTGCAGTAGTGGATCAATGCATACTTGCTGTCTGGCTAGGATGGTGATTCAAGGCCATTAGCAGTTTTTGCATCACCCACCCTATTCATACTAAAAATCAATGTCTGAAATGCATTTTTTTAAAGGGGGTTTGTAAACCTTATTTATGATCTTTGCTTATTTGGTCCCTTTCATTTAATTAAATATACCATTAAAAGCAGGGGTGGACAAATTAATATGCGATTCAGGAGCCAGTCTGTCAAGTCCAGGAGCCTGCAGGATTTCTTTAGGAGCAAGTACCGTTGACAACAAATAGAGAGACCCTGATAAGTTAGGAGCTAGCTGTACTTTGTGTAGAGCATTGGTGACCTGGCTCCTAAAATTTGTCCATCTCTGCATTAAACGTGCTTTGTTATATCTGTTCAATCAGTGCCAAAAATACCTGGTGTGCCTTCTAGAAAGCTGATAACTTCCTGTGCTGACTGTTACATTGTTCCCAGCTTTCTCTGTGGATTGCCTAAGGGCCCATTCACACCAATTGTGGTGTGTTCCAGAGCAGAAGCTGCTGGTATGCACAGCAATCGCACACAAAACTTCCCCCTTCGTTCTGGGGTGGGAGGGGGCGTCGTAGTGCATTGAAGTCAATGGCACGCCCACCCGCAGCTGTGCACCACGGTGGCGGTGCCATTGATTTCAATGCAATGCCACACCCCCCCCCCTTGCCCCTAGAACGAAGGGGGGCGTTTTGTGATCGATTTCTGTGCGTTCCAGCAGCTGCCGCTCTGGAACGCACTGCAATTGGTGTGAGTGGGCTCTAATACCCCCCCACATGTTCAGAGGAGAGGTGGAAGGTTTCTCTAGTCCTGTCCTAGAGTGACTACACTGCTCCTCCATAGGCTGGCCATACTTCTATAGAAGTCAGACGTTGAGACCAGGATTTAACAAGTGCTATTAAAAAAATTATTAATAATTAATAAAACATTCAGTGAAGGGGTGTATCTCAAAATACTCAATGTGAATCAGTTGCGTGAACAAATATAATCTTTTTTTTCTTCATTATTTTTTCCTCGTTTTTTGGATTTTCGTTGGACACATTATTGCACTGCATTTTCACTGTCGAAGTGTCTTACATTTATGGATTTCTAAAGACTATATAAAAAAACTATAAAAAAAACTACAAAAGATTTGGACTATTCACAAATACATCGAGAAAAGTTTAATTTTGTTTTATTTTATCTAAGTGGTACACATTGTTTGTCCATTCACTGTTTATTAACAAGAATCACTTACACATGATACATATATTCACAGCCTATCACATGTTATTAGATAGATTTATACATTGTCTGTTTTGATATTTTATGAACTTTATTTGTTCACGCAACTGATTCACATTGAGTATTTTGAGATACACCCCTTCACTGAATGTTTTATTAATTATTAATAATTTTTTTAATAGCACTTGTTAAATCCTGGTCTCAACGTCTGAGTTCTTATATTCACATCTGAAGGACGGCTAGCGCTGTACGTTTTGAAATAACACATCCTAATAGGGGCTGAGTGCCTTTTGTTCAGCAGCTTCCCTTACCCTTCCAGAACAATTTTAAAATTTTTTTAATTTGTTAATTTTTTAATTTTCTATTTTACCTACTTTTATACATATTTGATTATTTTTTCCATTAGCGCAAGTTCTTTGCAATTACTATATACTTCTATAGAAGTCTACCAGATTCCTCCATCCACGCTAAACAGTGCCGACACGGCTGTCAAAATACCCCATCAGTGACTACAGCTGATTAGATGTGCTCACTAATACAGCCAGGAAGGTTACACCCTGTCCTTTGACAAGAGTCAATCGAAAAGTCAATTTTGTCTAGCCAAGTGGGCCACCAAGGCCACCCACAGCTCGAATTTAGGCTGATTTAATAGGAGTCATCAAACATTGAAGCAGTTGTATGGCCAGCTTTAGATACAGTATGGTGAATGAGCATTCTTGTATTAGGACCAAAAGTATGTTACATTTAGGATCATAAAGTAAAGGAAATAAAGTCTAATAACAGAAAACTAATGCAGCCACCCACATATAAGGACTGGTAAGCTGAAATAAATGTCATTTTTGTTCTTTGGATCAGGTAAGCTTTAACTATTAAGGCAGATTGTTTGTTTTTGCCTCGGATCGATAAAAATGTTTCTATAGACAGTTCTCCTGTATGTCATTATATCATATTGCTGAGGGAGGACTGCCTGCTATACCTTCTGTATAATTCAGCTTTAAATATATCCCAGGATCCCCATAATGTAATTTGCTGCCTGATGATAGTGGTTACCGGATCCCCTGCACCGTCAATCTATGCCTATGAAGTAATGTCACACTAGCATTATGCAGCTAAATTTAGTCTCTGCCTTTATTGCTCCATCTCTGTTTATTCTGAGAAGCAAAACGCTCCAGCAGTCTTGTTAAATGCTTGGAACCCAAAATCAGCCTGTTTTTATAATGAGAAGAGAAATGAGGCAATAAAAACTCTGGATTTGTTTATGAACACTGCAAGAATGTAGTAGCATTCTCTATTTCTATATCAACCAATCGGATAGCAGCCATCATGTAATGCAATGTTTCTCTTCTTTATTGACCTATGTACCCATTTGTAAAAGCACACATTTACCAAGTACCCCCTAGTACAGGGGTAGGAACACTTCAGCCCTTCAGCTGTGGTGAAACTGCAAATCCCGTCATGCCTGTGGCTGTCAGTCTTGCAATGCCGAATGGGACTTGTAGTTCCATGCGGAGGGCTGGAGTTTGCCTACCCCTGCCCTAGTATGTATGTCTGAGCGGATTTATTGCCTGTAACCCCTTAAAATCTAAACGTGAAGCAGCAAAATCGTTAGAAACAAAGCAACAAACTTCAGTGACCTCAAAGAGAGGCTGTCACCAAACCATACATTTAAACAACAATCTTTCCCGCAGGATTATAATTGCATTTAATGTATGTTAGACATGTTCTTTACCTGTAAAGGTCTCCTTTGTGTAGACATCCAAAAGTCCTGAGACTTCAGCTGGGTGCCACCATCTTGTATGGGATGTCTGAAGCCCCAACAGACTCATTGCGCTAGGTGAGAGGCTCCTCAGCCTCCCCCTTGCACAGCACTGTCAGTTCCTGCACCAAGCAGCCATTTAATATATGCTGCCCGGTATAAAGTGTCAGTTTGAGGTTGGGTGGGTTGAGGGTATGGCTGCAAGGGAGCTCCATCCATACGTGCATTGCTTACAGCTGCCTTGCATGTCCTGTAGATGTCACATTCTGGCTCCCGGCACCTATACAGGGAGTGCAAGGGAGCGGTACAAGCAATACACATATGGACGGAGCTCCGTCATAGCACAGCAGCCCACACTGGACCCCAGGCTGAGGATCCACTCCAGTTCTCATAAGGTAGGGAGACTGGGTGGATTTAAAAAAAGAAAAAGAACATTTTTTGGAGTGTGTATGTGAGATTGTGGTGTCTGTCAGTGTTCTGGAGGCCCCGTCCACACCCGTGCGATTATTGCACTGTACCACACAATTGCACCTACCGCACATTCTAATGTGGGAGGTGCGTTGCATTGACATTCATTTGAATGTCACCCCAAATGCACCTCCCGGCTACAGTTTGATTGCCTGCACCAGAATGGACGGTACCGCAAGGCCGTGCATTCCAGTGCAGTGCAACTTGGGTTGCGGCTTAAGGACCAAGGACAAATGTGGGTCCTTAGGTTACACAGGTCGAGAAACACTGCTCTAAAGTATTCCCGCTTTGCGCCTCCTGTGGACGATGAGGGGAGGAGCAGTGGAGCTAGACCAGTACAGGCACTCCCAGAAGATGAGAGGGCTATGACATGGAAGGAGGGAACTGTGCTAGAGAATTGATTCTTCTGGTATAATCAAATACCAACAACTAACAAGGTTATAGGCACATTATATGTCCATAAAAAACAATTTATAGAAAAGAAAAACACTGCAAGAATTTTAAAATACTTGATTTTTCTGTGTGTTAACCTGCAATTGTTTGAAGATTTTTAGTAGGGATGCACCGATACCGATACTAGTATCGGTGCCGATACCAAGTATTTGGGTGAGTACTCGTACTCGCCCAAATGCTCCGATACCTAGCACGAGTACTTCCTGTATCAGAAAGCCGGGCAGCGCATCATTACACGCTGCCCGGTTTCCTGATTGGCCAGGAAACAACTCCATGCTCTCTCGTCACTTGTGATGAGAGAGCATGGAGCCGACTTCCCGGCCAATCAGGAAGCTGGGTAGCGTGCAATGATGCGCTGCCCGGCTTCCCGATTGGTCAGGAAGCTAGCAAATTCGGCAGCCGGGCGCCGTGTAATGATGCTGCGCCCGGCATTCTGATTGGCTGGGAAGCCGGCGTCATGCTCCCTCGTCATCTCATGAATCATAATATTAAGAAAGTGACCTTAAAGCGTTGGTTTGTATTGCTTTAGAAAAAATGTGACCTGTCCCTTTAAGAAAAAGTATCGGTAATTGGTATCTGCGAGTACTTGATCAAAAGTATCGGTACTCGTACTCGGTCTTAAAAAAGTGGTATCGGTGCATCCCTAATTTTTAGTAACCCCTGCAGTGGGGCTATCCCCTGCCTTGCAAGGGTTAGGTGCTTGTTTTAATCTAGGTAGGAAAAGATATACATGTTAAACTCACCTGATCCTCTGATCTGGCTTGCTGTTAGTCTGGTCCTTCCAGCCTGCCCAGTTTTGATTAGGGATGCACCGATAGAGTACTTGTACTCGCCCAAATGCTCCGATACCTTCCCCAATAACGGAACTTCCGGTCCGACGAAGATTTCCTCTGACCGGCAGTGCCGCAAGGGAACATGGAGCCAGCTTCCCCTGCAATCCGGAAGCGGGGCAGCGATTAATGACCCGGTTTCCCAGCCAAACAACATGGAGTCGGCTTCCCTGGTCGTAGTGACATCATCAGTGTGCTAGAGTGTAGAGAGCAGAGCTGTGGGAGGGACCCAGCAGACCCCACCCATTACAGGATGCCTGCAGAAAACTACAGGAGGAGGTGGAGACAAGACCAGTCACCCTGTACAAGGAGAGAGATCTGCAGTGAGCGGCCTTTGTTACAGGAAGCTCCAAGTCTCGCACTGGATTACTGCACAGATCTGGAAGAAATACATGACGCTCACCAAGATTCACGGAAGAACACACGGCTCTTGTATTTAGATGATTTTTGCTTATCCCTGAGTACAACGTTAATACTGCATGCAAAAAAACTCTCTCCAGCTAGACTTTTATTTTTTAAAGGAATTATGAATGCACATGTGCTGGTTTGTATAAACTGTTGTAATGTGGACTGTTTAACATATAATGCTCATTTTGAATTAAAATGCCAATGGGATATCTTGCATAAACACTTCCATAAGAGTGTGTTCTGAAAAGTACTTCTGTCCCAAAACCGGTAGCACACCTTACCGGAGCACCCATCGATGATTGCGGATGCTTGCAATGACCACGGATGGCACCGTCTTCGATAGAGTAATGTAGAAAGATGTCACCAGCACGACACAGATGCATATGACCGTGCAAATCCATTTATTGATGCTAACGAATACTCAAGAGCTGAAAAGTACTTCAACACGTGATACACACAGCTGTATTTATAATAATTAGAATTAGGGATGCACCGATACTTTTCAGCTACCAGTGCCGATACTTGCCATTTTCATGAGAACTACCAGGGTTGCAGCTCGGACCTGGCTCTGGCGCTCCACCCCTGTCCTGAAATCATTAAGCCCGTAACAAACTGCACGCAAAGCCGTGCAGAGCGAAGCAAAGCTCTCCGGCACGGAGCTTTGCATGCAGTGTGTGAGCTGAGTGCAGTCAGATGATTGACTGCACCTTCAGCCAATCTGCTCGTGCGTAAAAACCAACCAGATGTCGCATGCTGACACGCGGGTTTGTAATTTTTCATCTCGGCACGCTCAGCTACGCAAACCCTCGCAATCTGACGTGCCAAGGAGAAAATTACATAACACACTGCTCGTAAAGGCAGTACTTGTATCTGTGAGTACTTGGGCAAGTATCAGTACTCGTACTCGCAAAACTGGTATCAGTGTATCCCTTTATATATGTTTATAAAAATAAAATCATACATTAAAACAGAGATGTACAAATTCCAGGAGCTCCGTATGCTCCTTACACATGACAGCTGCCTCCTAACTTTTGAATTGTTCTCTAGTCTAGCTCGAAAAGTATCTGTACTTGTACCGAGTACGATACTTGGCATCAGTGCATCTCTAATTAGAATTGTGTAGAGAAATGCCTCCACAATATAATCTTTCACTGCTGCTCACAGCCCAGCTATAGATGGTTTACTTCATGAAGAAGTCTGTAATTTAACATATGATCTTATCCAGGAGTGGACAAATTGTTTGCAATTCGGGAACCAGTCTGTTCAGTCCAAGAGCAAGGACCATTCACAACGACTAGAGAAAACCTCAAATGTTGGGTGCCAGCTGTAAGTTATAAGAACAGTAGAAAGGCATCATGGCACACTCACAAATCTATATATATCTATATATCTATATATATATATATATATATATAGTGTGTATGTATGTGTATATATATACACACTGTACATAACATTTAATTTTTTTATTTTTTTTTCTACTGCATTAATTTGGTGTTTTTTTTCTATATGTACCTAAAATCTTGAAATAAAGAATTGTATTCCCATTGGAACTGATGACAAATAAATACAGTCTATTTCTGGAGAGCTTACTGTACTTTGCAATGTGTGGAGGAAGAGCTTTTCAGTTCCTTTTGGTCCATCTCACCGTAAGCCGTCAAGTTATCCGAGTGCTCCAGAATGTAAAATAAGCGTGCTAGAATTGTCACTGTCACATAGTAACCAGGCCAAATTTGTTGGATTTGTTTGTGTATTTTTCCTGTAGACAGAGAAGTCTCTTTAGAAGTCAGGATTTCTATCTGGCCTCCTGTCACTTATTTGTTTGACGCATAAGTTAAATATTATTTCTGTCCAGAGTAGGAGAAGCCTGCAATGTTTTTATTGTCTGCCCTTCGTTTACTTGCTGCATGAATAGTGAAGGTGTGATGTTGCCAAGAGACTAATAATAAGAACTTGTTCACTCTCTGCCATTGCCAAGATGTTTTATTTCACTTCTATTCTAGCTTTAGTATAATGAAGTTTGACCGGAATAATTAATTGATTTTACTACATTCTAGCAGGTTTGGCTTGGTACTCAATACTCGTGATTATCTAATTGCCGTTGCATGCTTTAGGCCCCATTCACACGGGAATCGTCCGGCACGTACACTGCACCTGCCCGGGAAGGACAGGTGCTGTGTGTGATTAGTACGCAGCCTTCTCTATGGGAGTACGTGGCCATACGCCGCTCTACGCTCACGCGCCCTGCACGTCTGTGTGGGTGCGGGTGAGCGTACTCGTACGCTGACAGGATGGATCCTGTCTGCAGCCGAGCCAGGAAACACGCACCCGCACGGACCTGCACTTGAGGTGAGCATAGGGGGGCGTATGGCCACGTAGTCCCATAGAGAAGGACGGGGGCTACTTACTAATCACACGCAGCACCTGTCCTTCCTGGGAGCTGCCTGATACGGCCCTGCACGCAGCACGGAGCTGTACGTGCCGTCCGATTCCTGTGTGAATGGGGCCTTAAGGTGACACAACTCAGGAGTTAAACCTAAAAATACATTCAAATACCTTTCAGGATCGAGAGGTGAGCGAACGCCGGTATGTGTTCTCTCACCTCCCGATCTACTGAGCCGACCTGTGACAGTCTCATTGTCACAGGTCGGCTTAGAACTATGAGGTGAGTGGAAATCACTCATGTCATAGTTCTCCTTTATTGGTGAATTGGGCCTTATAGCTGATATGGATTCCAGTAATCCTTGCCCTTAGTATCCATGGTGACCAGCTACTAACTGGCTGAAGGCTTTCTGTTCTATTGAAATTATCTTATCTACATTGTCCAGTGTTCTTACCTGTTCTTAGCGCTAATTAGAAGTATTATGGTTTCGTTATTTGAAGGAACCCAAGATAGTAAACAGTGTGTAATTATGGAAGAATATCTTGTTTCCTACTAAGTACTGCTTTTCTAAATTCAGGTTTTGAAGTACATCTAAATGTAAATCTTTTTTTTTTCTTTTTGGCTATGGTTAAAACCCGTCAGTGTTTTTTATTGCCATCTGTGTCCCACTGGGGAGATTTCACCGCACTTCCTATCCAGTAGACACAACAGAAAGAGAGAGTATATCTCTCCAAACTATGAAATATCCCTTTGTAGACTGTTGTTACTGGCAGACGTGCCCCCATAGAAAGGTTTCCATTGGATAACTCAACAAATTTACAGTTTCTCCTTACTTTTAGTCCCCATAACAATGGTCACCAGAACAGTAAGAGTGAAACTACGTAACAGAGACAGTAATAAAAACATGATGACGGTTTTTAACATCTCACCATTCTATCCTTTTGCAAGAGGTTGATACTAAGTAAAATTTAGATTTACTGCATGCATGATATAATAAGGAATACTGATCTGCATTAAGTTGTGTCTCTTATGTGCCTGGGGTTCAGCTTTACCATTTGCCTTAGTGACAGAGTCTTTCTTAACAAGCCTATAAACAGTCAGGTTATTAGTAGAAGTTATTTTTAGACCTATGTGTTGATAATTAGCATATTGTCTTTGAAAGCTGCTAAATACCCACTGGGATATTGTATGCTTCAGTGGAAGTTGTGTTTATGCCACTTATGCATGGAACACATCAATGGGTTACATCGGTGTTCACTATGTGAAATGGAAGTTCAGAACCCACATTAAAAGTGTATAATCTGTCAAGTGTAGTAAATGTTGTGGAGGGGTAAATCTGTAGTGTAATCAGGATGCCTATGGTGGAGATGTCAAAGTGGTGGAGGGTTGGATTTGTCTGTGTGCACTCAATGGAGAAAAAAAGAAAACTGTCATATGAATGCGGGCTCCAAAAAATGTGAATCTTTGTCCCCAAAATTGGCAATCCGGAGTCCCCTGAATGTAGCGTGTAAAAGTTACACTAGGTCTTCCTACTTCCCACATGGTAATTTCTCACTCTCCGGATCGGATGAACATTCACAGACCGTTGCAATGTGGGATGGTCGTGTGCCAATTTGCATGTCCCATTCTAGAACTCCTGGGGCACGCACCAGAGAGATGTTTTGAAGTCCCTATAATAGGTACCTGGTCATTGTGGCATCCACTTTTATTGAACCCTTTCTGTTTTACTTTTTCAATGCAGGATTAAATGTCTTGCTGTACCCGATTTTTAACTTGCACAGTGTCACATTTTTATGGCAAAGTGCTTTACTTGTCAGTTAAAGAGTAACCAGGCAGTTCAGCTAATGTTAGAAGAATGTGGTATGACTGCAAGAATTCAGCTGATAGAGTGACATGTAAGCTGCAGGGGTTGCCGGGTCACCAAGGGTAGATTAACCTTTCATGTTGTGCCTTGTAGCCTGGTCATAGACAGAATATTTTTTTGCCCTGACTCCAGATAATGGCCAAAGTATAGGTTAACCACTGCCAGCGCTAGAGCATTTTTAAAACATTTTTAACACAGGTTAAAATACCTTCACAGGCAAATACAAATGGGAAGCTCTACAGCCACCAAGATCACTTGTATTTTAAAGGGGAATTCCACTTTCCCTGGTAAATTTGCAAAAATTGAATAACCCCCCTTCAATCTGTCTCCTCTACATCCCGCTATCCCCCGCTGTACTTACCATTGGGCGAACGCTCCTTCCCCTTCGCCAGTGCAGGTGTACTACTTTGCACTCTGAATTTTGAATTTCTCTTGCAAACGGCAAGCACTTATTGGTCAGCGCAGCTACCTGAGCAGCAAGGACTTCTTCTCATTGGTCAGCATCGTCACCTGATTAGTGCTCACCATTTGTGAGCAAAATTTAAACTCCATAGCCCAGGGCTTGGTTACATGGCACTAAGGGGTATAGATAGTTCATCCGCTTTGGAGGAGGAGAAGGAGCGTTCGCCCAAAGGTAGGTATAGCGGGGGGAGGGGCGGTAGAGGGGGTCAGATTGGAGGGGGTAATTCCATTTTTGCAAAATCACTTGGCAAAGTGGAATTACCCTTTAAAGCCCTCCACCTGCTTTAAAAAAAACTATGCTAAGATCACGGCTGTAGTTTCAGCCGTGATCTTGGTACACCCAACATAAGACTAGTGGTAATGATCACGAAAGAGGCAAAAAAAAGGGGGGTCACATAAATATCGAACCACAGTGGAAAGTTATTTTGATCACACGTCACTAGAAAAATATCACCTCGATCTGTAGTAGAAAAAAAATGATACCAAGGTTATGGCTGCAGCAGTAGCTATCATCTTGGTATAACCACTATAAGACCAGGATGTACAGGTATGTCCTAAGGTCGTGAGGTAGTTAAAAATGGTAATGATCATGAAAGTAGTAGAAAAACTCAGGTTACATAAGTGCCCTCTCTTAGACATTTGCCACAACAACAGTATTCTCAAAATTACCCTCTCTACCTGTTGAGTTGACGACTCCAAAATCATCGGGTTCCCAATTGTGGATCCAAACATGGTGTAGAAAACGACACTTGGGCTTTCTAGTTAACACAGGCAGTTTTTTCATTGAAAGGCATTTTAATAAACAAAGTCTTTGAGTCAGAACTATAAAATGCTGATGTAAAAAATGAGTGTTTGTTACTAAATGCAACTGATCCAAAGCCTTTCACTTGTTTTAACCTGCGCTGTCAAAGTGACTGCTGAATTAAAAGGCTTTGAGACACAATAAGCAACCCTTTGCTACACTGAGTAATTATATATTGCTTCATTGCACATAATCTTCTTCTCAATTACAGATCTGATGTTACTTCTGTTCCAAAGCCAAAGTTACGACCGGCGAGAGTTCCCTCTGCTTCTCGGAATAAGGATACTGGGAAAAAGGCGGACAGCCTACAGCAAGGTGTGCTCACACTTATTTAATATTTTACTCTTATTTTAACCAGGGCAGGAATAGGTGGATGTTTGAGAGGAACTGAACTCTGGAAGCTGTGCCCCAAAAAAGGCCAACAGAGGGTAAAGGCATAGTCACCAGTATTGCCTGTGGTCTCCTTGCAGCTCATCGTTCTCCATTACTGACTTCTGTGTCTATATTTTGAGGCAGCCATCTTAGTAGACGATTTTGCTGTGCACAGGGATTTGCTTCTTTATGTCAGAGCCTCCATCAAGGTTACAAGTGACAAGCACAGTATTTCGCCAAATCTCTTGAGTCTACCAGTCAGATGCAGCAGTGCCTTAAATTCTCACTACAATTATGCAGCTATGAGGCTGTAGCCACAGGAATGCTTAGGCACCCTCACATACCATGAAGTCCACTGATATTTTTCAGGAAGAATTCAGGATCCGGGGTGAAATCTTTCATGGTACTGCTTAGGCACAAGTGATTGTAAGTGATACCTCTTGCCTTCCTTTTAGTCATAGTGTAAGTTTCTGAAAACCGTAATTTGGTATAAAAACTTTGACTCGCAGCCAATGACAGCGGACGATAACATGGCTGAGGATGACAGTACTTAATGGTGAATTGGGCCTTATATCTGATATGGATTCCAGCAATCCTTGCCCTTAGTATCCATGGTGACCAGCTACTAACTGGCTGAAGGCTTTCTGTTCTATTGAAATTATCTTATCTACATTGTCCAGTGTTCTTACCTGTTCTTAGCGCTAATTAGAAGTATTATGGTTTCGTTATTTGAAGGAACCCAAGATAGTAAACAGTGTGTAATTATGGAAGAATATCTTGTTTTCTACTAAGTACTGCTTTTCTAAATTCAGTTTTGAAGTACATCTAAATGCAAATCGTTTTTTTTCTTTTTGCCTATGGTTAAAACCCGTCAGTGTTTTTTATTGCCATCTGTGTCCCACTGGGGAGACTTCACTTTTGATTTTGCCACTGTAGCTAAGGCACCCGGTGTTTAATTTAGATGACAACAGGTGGGGCAAATGTACATGCATCTCCATTTCGTAAAGGAAACCTATCACTAGAAAAATACATGGCCTGCCATTTCCGACCTTGTACTGAAAATTATGTTGCTGACAATTTTGTTTCTTCTGGCTATTTTTTGAGTCACTGACCCAAGTATGCTGAAAATTACACCAGAACAATTGATCTACGTAGTTGTTTTAGGAAAAGGTGAATTAAGGACGAATGGGGCCCTGGGCAAGCTAATCCATTCCATTGACATTGACAACAATGCAATAGGCTCAGAGAAGCCACCACATTGCCATTGTTTGTACTTGCGTAGCTTGTCCGCTTGGGCACCAACTACCTTGAAGTTCATCCTTCCTTGTGAAATGACTCAACTTTGACCTACCTCCCTGGTTTACTTCAGGAGTATGATGGTTGTAGCTGCCTCCTCTAAACATCTACCAGGCCCCAGGCTTTTTCTGAAGTTGCCTTACAATACAGCGTATGTAAGGATTCTCTTGAGGTCACCTAAAAAAATGGACTGCAGTGTATCCAGGGGGACCTTAATAGGACAGAGATATGGGAACTGCCATTGCTGACTTGTTTTTGACAGTGTGAGCTCTGAGGCTATTATACCCAATTTTGCTTCATTACTTACCGAGTCACTTACCCCAAACAAGTATGCAGCCTGTGAAGTCAAATATCATGACTTGGATTCGCAAAGAAGTAATGCAAGGATTACATCCCTGGAGTTCCTATGATGTCCAATGAAATTCAGTAGATTCCGTTTGCTGGGCTGAAAGTCCTGTAGAACTGCAGGGCAAACTGGTGCCTTGGTTTCCCAAGGAATGGGTCCTTGAAAAACTGAGATTTTTCCTCCAGAAGAAGCAGGGAGTGTTGGCTAATCTGACAGCCAGAATCTGATTGCTATCAGTAGCAGAGGCTATCTCTACTTTTAGGTGAATTCATTTATTTCATGATTATTCCCTCCAGACTCATAAATGTCACTCCTTTGCACATTACGTCCTACATAGCCTCGTATTTTTCTCTGACACATAGAATAAAGCACCGGATTACCTGGCATTCATCAGTCAGAAGTGTTGCTGTGTTTATTTTTCTGTTGTGTATGAGATAAAGGTTCGGACTAAGTGCTACAGCAGAAAACCAGTTCTGTCAGATTCCTGCTAATCCTTGGCTAATTTTTGTACCTTTAATCTGCTCTTTATTGAAGACCAGCTCCAGACAAAAATTTATTTTATTTGGATTACAATTTTATAGCTGAACTCCAGGGGAATTTCAAATCTAACCTTGCGGTGAATCTCCTGCTGCACTGCAAGGGTTAAATGCTTCATTTTTTTTCTAGGGTACCGTTAAAAGCAGTTTTACTTAACTTATCCCTCACTTCCCCAGCAGCCGCCACTTTTCTCTTCCCTCGGGTGCTTGGGGTTGGGGGCGGGCCCTCGGCATCCTCCCTTGCAATGCAAGGCTGCTGGTCCTGCATTGTACATGATGACAGCGCATTGAAGAGAAATTGTTGAGAGGAGAAAGAATGCAGGAGTAAGGAGTAATTAAAACTTAAACCTTTTTTGGCCATAGTTCTCTTTAGGATCACAGGAGGACATATACCATGTCCTCCTGTGACCAAAACTCAGCATATAGCGGGCTATCTCCTGCTGACCGCTTAGAGCTGCATTGTGCAGAGAGGCAGAGCCAGCTATGGCTATAGTAACATTCCTTTTTATTCCTTAATGCTCAGGAAACCTTGCCAGTGAAAAGCCAGTGAGAGTGATTGGTCAACGGATGAATTATAGGAATGGGCCTGCAGATGCTGAAGAAGATACTTCTAAGGAGATTACTCCAGTGCCGACGAGACATCCGCAAAAGCCATCAAGACCCATTAAAGGCAAGTGACAAATGGTCATTCTACTGTCACTCCTACTGCAATCCTGGGTGTACCCTACTAAAGGGCGGTGCAGAACGATTATTTACATTAATGCTTTCCTAATCATCTGCTGAATAAATAAGCAGATTAGTTATAAGAGAATTCTTGTCAAGCATTATGCATGGCTACTCAAAGATAAAGGGTATACATGGACATTCAGTCCATGACTTCCATAAGGTTGTTTTAATTGGTTTGAGTAGTACTACAATATAGGTAGATAGTTTGGTTCAGGGTCAAAGGCTGCCAAGAGCTGCACTTTATTTCTATATAGACGCAATTGATATATCATATTTATCTTTAGACCCATGACCGTGCATGCATGAGGGCTGCAGTTTCTGTAGCAATTGTAAATATAGAAATGTATAATGGAAGGATGATATACAGTAGCTTTTGTGAGTTTGTGAAAGCAAAGCCTGTGAGCTGTAATTTTACTGGCCCCAAGTGATAGGCTAAGTTTCATAAGAGATGCTTATCATCCAGCATCAGGAATGAGTATCTCATTTATAAAGCCGTGTACAACAATGAACCCTTAAAACAGAGGAGAGACCTTGAGAAAAATCTATTCAAACACATCAGGAGTCTTATAATAATGGTGATGGGAGTCCCAAAAAGTTTTGTTTTGTTATTGAAAGATCAACAGGATCTATTGATCAACAGGATCTATTGATCTATCATTAAAGTGACATTAAAGTCAATTTTTTCCCCCTCCCCCAATGTTAATGAAAGCACTTAGCTTAAATGATGTTTTTTTATCCGATCTTCTTTCCTGTCGTTTTGATATGTCCCTCCAGCGCTGCTGCGGGTCTCCGATCCAGCGATGACTCCTCTGAGCTTGCTGGCACTTCTTGTCCCACGGTGTCTGCATGCGAGTGCATGCGTCCATAGACTTACCTTGTGTCTCTCCTCGCTTCCCGGCCGAAAATGTGAACTGCGCATGCGCCCGCCCCAAGATGCTTTGCTGCCGCCCGAGGATCTTCACATTTTTGTACGGGAGCGCGCAGGGAAGACACAGGTGAGTATTAACTTCTGTTAAAGCGGGTTTTTTTTTTTTCTTTACACTTTTTGCATAGATCTACTGCTTGCTAGCAGTAGATCTATGCAAAAAATTGAGGCGTTATTTATCCATTAAGTCAAATTAAGTAAAACCAATTGGGCTTTATAAAATGAATATATTTTCAGCACATGTATTCATGGATGGTATTAATTTTCTGTTTTCTCTTACTACACCCACACATATAGGAATTACCGGGTCAGTAACAAACTTCCAGCAGATTAATGACAATGATGCAACAGGCCTTTTGTCTGAGGATTCTGTAGCTGTGATTGGAAAAGGTATGTATATAATGCACTATAGTAACCGTAATTTATAGGTTAGCTCATCTCAGCTTGGAAAAGCAACTGCAAATTTTAGGCTTGTAAGGCTATAGCAATGTGTTGGAAGAAACCTACTCCTTCTTCTCTCCTGTTTTGGGGGGGAAAAAACTAGGGAATTCGCACTTAACTTTATATAAAGATACTTAATATAATAGAGTTTGCATTGATACATTTTTATAGGGTATGGTATGTGTGGATGGAGCAGCCTGGTTCAAGCTCAGACTCTGATCCATAGCATCTCATATTTGGTAGCTATTTTGCCACACTCTCTCTTATTTTATTGATAACATGAATTTTAATTCTGCTCATTGCATTGGTCTTTTTTGCCTGATCTGGGGGGAGCACTCTGCCTGGTGGCAGGCTGTCACCTATTAGGACCTTCTTTACTCCTTGTAGATCTCCATTCTGGTTCGTAGGCCAACTCTAATTTTTGTTGAGTATTGTCGCTAGGTTGTTTCTTTTTAGGTATGTTCATTCACCCGTCTTGTGTTAAGGATCAATTTAGATGTATGTGTGGTTTTTAAGCATCTTTTTTATGTGCTCTAGAAAATGCAATAAAATATATTTTTAAAAAAAAGCACATCTGCAAAATGAAAACAATTTTCCGGTTTACTGCAGATTTTTTTTATCTCTCAAGAATAACATTGATCAAATACAAATGCAAATCTAAACCTTTTACAGTGTATTGAGCCCTTTTACAGATTTAAATGGTTGACTAATCTCTATTATAAAATACATACACAGCAAAGGGCCTGAATACATTTTTCTTATAGTTTTGTCCGAATGATTCTGTTTGTGGTCTGATATCTCCCAAATGTGCTGGTATTTTGCAATCCTGATTGCCCCAACTTCTGAGAGCTTTGGCATGCCCACCTTACCTCAATGCCACTATCCAATTGGGTGTCCCATCAGCCAATCAGATTGTTCCTATTGGATTGTCAGTCAGTGAGTAGCTCATGGAAGTCATAGAAGTTGAGGCATATGTTTATTCATTGCGTTGGAGTTCGGGAAATTCAGAACTGCACACAGGATGATTTTAACAAAACTAGTATGTACATTTTGCGGTGCATTTTTTATAACAGATTTTACTTGGACCTTTTTCAATCCCATGACAGATCCACTCTAAAGTATATTGTTTATTTTATCCTTAATGTCCATAAGCTTCCCTGGATCCTCTATAACCTAGGGTCCTGCTTTAGCTTAGAAGTTGGTTGAGGTTCCCATTTCATCGATCAATGTGATGGGCAGCTTCACCAACCAAAGAAGAGGCAGTGAAGGAGTGTAATAGGCCTGCTTCAGCTTAGAAGTTGGTTGAGGTTCCCATTTCACCGATCAATGTGGTGGGCAGCTTCCCCAACCAAAGAAGAGGCAGTGCAGGAGTGTAATAGGCCTCCTTCAGCTTAGAAGTTGGTTGAGGTTCCCATTTCACCGATCAAGGTGATGGGCAGCTTCACTGACCAAAGAAGAGGCAGTGAAGGAGTGTGGCCTATTTCCAATTTCATAATTAAAGACTTTAGTTGCATTTAAGGACCCCCAGGGTTTTGAGGCTTCTTCTCTGTAAGACAACTAAGGAAATGAGCTGTGTGGATATCTATACTTACATTCTTACACCACTTCACAGTTGGCAAAGTGAGTAAGGGTACACCTTAGCTCATGAGGTAACTTACTATTTGCTGTTGTCACGGATTCCTTTATTATGTGGTTGGCCCATTGCAAAAACAAAAGTGTAGGATTTACCTGCTCACGTTGCTTCACAGCCAGTTGTAACTTAAACTATGCACAGCTTCCAGTTACACACTTACCGATGCTTCCATCAGCAGTATAGCTCTGTACACATGACCCACAGCAACCAGTAACATTTGAAAAAAAATGGCAATATCAGGATTGCACAGCAAACTAAAGAAATGCTGTGAGAATTGAGAATGCATTTAAGTAACCTAACAATTACAATTTTGTTGGGTATACTGAAAATTAGTTCAAGGACCTTCTTGAATGGATATTAAGTAAATGGCTTGCATAGGTAGACCTTTACCCTACACAGTAGATCTAATGGAGGTTGTAAACAGGTTGCACAGACTTGGATTTCAGGTACCATCTTTTGTCATGGAACTTCTGATTTCAATTTGTTCCCACCCTGTACAAACACGTTTCCTAAAGCTAACATTGCACTAAAGATATTTTATTTTTTTGAAGGTGTGTTTGAAATTCCTCCCGTTGCCTGTCAGTCACGCAGTCAGGCTTCCTTCTCCACCACAGAAGACTTGAGTGCATTGAAGCACAGCATAGAACCTCCTATCGGTGTCTATGGCAGAGCTGTTCAACAGAACAACGCACCAGTGGAAAGTGATGTAAGATGATATTTGGTGTACCATGAGTTTTATCTGCAGATTGAATTTGCAGTTTGGGCTCTTGAAAACATGTGTTTCTTTTGTGCAGGTTAAAGTCACAATGTCCAAATCCGCCCGGGACAAGATGAGACAGAAACGAGAGAATAGCCTGAAGGAATTGGTAGACTCCAAAGATCCAGAGAGAAGAGAGAGACTTTCCCAAACAGACCCAGGTCTAGCACGTAGAGACTGTGAGTATTCATCCATTGCTTGTTAAAGTATATAATGGACCAGATGTCCAGAGAGAGAGGTCAGAAAAAGATCCTCCAATGTGTCCCATCACACTCCTGTCAAAATAATTAGAACACTGTATTACAGTGACAGCTGACAGCACCCTCTTCTTAATAATGGCTTGTACATGTAAATGTACAGGCTCTAATAATCATTTTTGTAGGTGGTTCTAAGGCCCTTCAGTCCAATCTTGCAGAAAGGCTTCCAAGAGCCACTGGTTGGGGCCACATTAAAGGCAACCTGTCAGGATGGAAAAAAAGAGACTGCCATTGATGAGGCAATCATAGGTCACCTGAAGTCTAACTTATTGACCTGCCAACTGCCTGACCTCTCTCTCTTCTTCTGAGGTCAGACCATTTACAGGCAGCACTTTTGCAGCTAAAATATGGAAAAGTAGGTGATGCGAAATAGGGGAGAATATAAAGCCTTCATAGGTAAACCGACTCAGTTAATAATTAAAGACTGAACATTCATTATTATTCATGAAAAGCTCTCTTTAAGGTAATGATTTCCAGGCCCAGACTTAACGTTTCTTATGAAACAACTCATGACTGTGGAATGTCCAGGAAAATTACCACTAGTGAAAAGGCAGCATGAGCAAATAAATTCTCTAAAAATAGATTTTTCTTCTCTTGTGCCCCAAGGGCAAATAGTGCTATTGCACAGGTAAAAGAGGGACCCATCCAGTAGGGTTTAAGAAAAGTTAGAAGTGAAGGTATAAGGGGTTAGGCTGTTAGAATGAAAGTTTGCCCTCCTTCCACTACTGGCTATGTGGATTTGCTATTGAGTGATCAGAACTTCATAAGGACTGTGGCTTGGCAGTGGATCCTTTAGTGCAATGATAGAATCACAGGATTTTTAAAGAGACCCTGTAGCCTGGCCATTAATATTAACAACAGTCTACCTATTAGATTATATGTGTATTCAATCTATTGTATGCATGTTATTTACCCGCAAAAGCCATCCCCTGATGTAGATATGTAAATAACCTGAAACTGCTCCTGGTCACCACCATCTTGAATGTGATGTTTGCAGCCCCAGTAGACTCTAGTGACACCCTGTAGTATTCCCCTTAGCTTCTTGGAAGCTAACTAAAGGGATATGTAGGGAGGTGAAGGGAGGGGGGGATTAGCTGGACCAGCACAGACCATAATAACACACTTCCAAAAGAGGAGGGGGCTATGACATGCAAGAAGGGAAGTGGCTGTGCCAGGGAATTAACTCTCCTGGACTAGGCACATTTTCTAACAAATTCATGGTGCATTGCAAGTGAATTAACACCATTTAACTCATTTTTTTCTGTGCTTTTACCTATTTTTTTAAAGTTGGTGACAGGGTCTCTTTAAGCTGGTTATGGTATGGTACGGTTGGGAGTAACCCAATGACAACTGCCAGACTTCCTGCTTGCTTCTTCTAAACTCTTCCCTTGTTTTGTCATTGCTCCAGCTTGGACACCAGGATCAGAGTGTCTGGAAAATGTAGACATCAGTCCACCATCTTTAAAAAGAACTTCAAGCGTAAAGAAATCCTCAGGTATAGATGGCGAGTACATCCATAATAATACATTAGATTTGCCAATTCATGTAGAAAATGTGATTTTTATATATATATATATATATATTTTTTTTTTCAATCAAGAGATTTTTATATATTTTCAGCCAATGTAGATGTTGCTGGTGTAGGTGTGGCATATTTACAGAATGATTTTCAGATTTGGGGAGTCTCCTCTTTTTCTGAGAGGATACACTGCAGATGATTTGATGATGTGGCTGGTAATGCCCTACTTTTTCTCATGTATCAAATGAACTGACAATGTCACGTTTATGTTTTCAGCACAACGCAGTCCATATAGAGACCGATCTTCCATCAGCCGTAGTTCTGATGACATGGATGCTGGTGTGCCCAGAGAACTGCCCAGGCCAAACCTTTCAATCATTGAAGTGTTTAAACTTCTGTCTGATGTTGACTGGTAAGCAACCATGAACTATTATTGCTGATTTTTTTTTTTTTTAAGTGTTCCAAGGATCATTGTATTTTTCTTTTATGACCTTCATTTATGCTTGCCAAGAGTTGTAAAGGACAGCAAGGTTTGATGACCACAAGACTGTTACACTATGTTGGGGATTCTTTAAAGTGTATGCACAGCCAAAACTTTTCATTTTTATTCTAGATCCGGTAGGGTAAGGTTAACCTCTGTCAGGTCATTTGTTTCTCTGTCCAGCTGGGGTTCCCTTTAACTTTCTTTATAGGAGATTCAACAAGAAATCTCAGGCATTCCGATCTTAGACAGTTGTTACTGGAACATTTGTTCCTATTGCAAGATTTCCCCTTACCTCTTGTGGTGAGTAGAGCAATAAAAACATGAAATGACCTGCAGTACTGTACTGTAGGGTCTACTTCCCTACTATCCAAAACTAAAAAAAAAATATGCACTGGTATATGGAATCCAAGCAAAATTATTATACCCCAGTGAGAGAGGACTAGATTGGGAATGTCCACACAGGCCTGGGAAAGTGTCACTCTAAACGATGGTACCAGGCATCAGGCTGAGGTCAAATCAATAGTCTGTCTGAGTAGTTTAGTTCTGCAAAATACTCTGAAGGTTCTGGAGAACTTAGCTAAACTCTACAGTGTGCTGCCCTTTAAGTAGACTGATTGGGGAAAGGCAAGACACATAGAGCAGTCACTGAACTTGTGAGCCTGTGAGTGTCAGTGTGCACAAAAAAAACTGCTCGTGTGTGAACTGGACTCAAGGGAGACTATAAGAGATGGGGAGGGGGAGCGGTAGGTAGATATCTTGCAGTTTTCTGTTGCTGCCCATCTCGGAGCTTTGGGTGTTTCTGCTCCTGTTACATTCTCCAAATTAAAAAGGAACTTAAAAAGTCACCAGAGTCCCCAAGCTTAGGAAACAATTTGCTTCAGCAAAAGATGAACTACTACTTAGGGGTAAACTGACCATTTAAATATTCTCATGTATTAATTAATGAGGTTTTCTATTTCATGCAAATGTTTACAGGGAGAAGAAGATTGAGGGCTTGAATCTGGTACGATCGCTGTGCATCTTCCATTCAGATGTCATTGCTGAGAGGCTCCATGACCTGAAGATTGCAATAACAAAAGAGGTGAGGGGGTTTTGGAGAGTATGTGGTTAGGCATGTGAAGACAGATTTTGGGTGAAAATAAGTTTAGATTCAGTCCCTTTTGTTTTACTGTCTGTATATATAAATCATTATAATCACCTGAATGAGCAGTGACTTAGCCGAAATCAGTATTATTATGGGATATTCAGAGGTTGAGGGTGTTTTCGGTTAACTGATGGTATACTCTTGCACCTTTTGGCAAATACTCTACAGCCTCAGTTTTGCTTTATGTAGTTTTGCTTAACTATAAGAGCTCTTTAAACAAGTGGAAAAGGTTAATCTGATGTTGAGGGAGTTCCCTAAATTATGTGTTTTGTATTTTAGGTGAAGAACTTGCGTTCCGGCGTCTCCCGGGCAGCCATCGTGTGTTTAGTAGATATGTTTACACACCTTAAGAAGAACATGGACCATGAACTGGACAACTGTGTCCGTGTTCTTCTCCACAAAGCTGGAGAGTCAATCACCTTCATCCGAGATGATGTGGATAGGGCACTTGAGGCTATGGTACAGAATGTGACGCCGCTGCGTGCTCTAGCCGCGCTCTTAAATGGAGGGCTCAGGTATAATTACACTTTGTGGCTTTTGATTGTCTTTTTAATTAGAAGTCACTTTTAAGGGCTGTGTAGTATGGCCTTACTGCAGCCAAATGCTGATTGTTCTTAAAAATATACTTCAACGCCTTTATAAAGCACGGCTGTACAGCTTATTTAAACCCTAACAATGAACTTCTTGGATTTGCTTCATTTGGGCGTGTTGAACATCGAACGTCAGTGTCAAAGCCATCTGAGGATGGCTGTAAAAGGTCAAACTTGTCCCAGAATTGATGGCTGGTTAAGAAGTGATCCATGTAGGTCTTCTATATGGAGCAGTATGCACATAGATTTCCCAATGGGGCAAATCCTTACTTGAACCGTTGTACTACTTTTTGAGGAGGAAATACTTTGTGTACATGTACTGCTTTAGTCCATCAGCCAAGTTGTAAGTCCTATCATGATTAAGAATGGCCAAGATGTCTCCAGACCACAAAATGTCAACAATAAGCTATAACCCTGACACTATTTGGCCCTCTGCTGTCTTCAGGAATGACTAGAGGAATGACTAGAGAGCTAAAACTGGCCACACACACACTGCAGTTTAATTGTACAATCTCTGTGCGATGTCCTATAGGTTAATCAAAACTAATGAATGAAAATGAATGGAATATTTATAAACACAACATTGTGCTTTACAAACGTGTTTGATGGGTCACGTCTCTACTTTTACTTTGGCACCATGAAGTGCAAATAATTTTTTTTTAAAAGGCCGGAGGAGAGCCCGGTCACGTGATCAGTCATGTGTACATGATTGGCCTCTCTACCAATCACAGATTTCTCTCTGGTGCTTGCTACATTAAGCAGTGACCTCTGTGATGTACTGCAGGCTCCATGTGGTGGCCATAATTTTATGAATAGGACACAAAATAAAGGCTGCAGTGTAAAGTAATCTAGCCGTGCATAGTACAGATCAAATCTGCTCTCCTCTATAACTAATTCCCTATTTAATTGTGAAACCTATAGAAAAAAATCCACTTAATTTCTATCCAATCAGGCAGCCTCTAGCACTACATAGTTGCTATATCTAAAGGGATTATATAGACTGATTGTTATTATATTTCCTGTTCCCGTTAATCCCCACATTTTTGCTTAGATGGCTTTGACATTATGTTCTTGTTTGGTTATGCTGCTTCTGTATATAACCTATTGGGTTGTGTCTCCATAGCCATTTGAACACTGCAGTGAGGAAGTGCACAGCCCAGCACATGTGTGGCTTAGTGGAGAGAATGGGGCCTGGACGGGTTCTGTCTGGTATAAAGGACATCACAGACAGAGCGGTGCCCGCTATAGCCAAGTTTGCTCAGGATAGCTCTCAGGAAACCAGGTAAGATGTGTTATGTTGGAGATTTTGGTGACCTAGATGCAGGACAGGGGATGACTCCTCTTGGTAGTGTATCCATGGTCTTGTTCAGCCTCACTCACACATTGTCACAACTTTACATGCTTTTGAGAACTCATTGGACTCCAGCTAAACTGTTTAAGATGGTATGTGCCTCCACGGATCATGGTGATCTGCTACATATGCTGTAGCGCTATGCAAAATTTGTGTGATACTGGCAATCTATCATTTCTCAAATTGAGCCTGTATTCCATGTTCCCATTTCCAAGACACCTACTGTTTGTGTTCTCAGTATTCTGAAGGAGGATTTCCTAGATCAGAATGTTCACACAAGGGCAAGGGCTTCTGGTGTGCCCCTGTCCCTTTTAAAGAGGGATGGGCTACCTCCAGGCATACCTGCACTCAATTTGTCCAATGCTATATATGCTCCAAGATGGAGGCTCTTTTAGATTAGGACCGCACTACACAGAGGGACCTTGATGAGGCAGTGTGGCTTCCAGAAGTTGTGCAATAAACACAAGTCGTGAGACAGTGTAAGCTTTTGTTTTACAGCCTAGCTGCTAAGTGTGCTGGGAAATGTTAGTGTTTGTACCTATTAAAGAAACCCTGTCGCCAGACATGTGCATTTGATGTATTTTATGCATGTTTTTACCTGTAAAAGCCTTCCTTCTGTAGATATCCAAAACCCCTGAAACTACTGCTGGATGCCACCATCTTGGATGTGCTATCAGTAGACTCAGAGCTGTCAAGTGACACTCTAAGCAGGGGCAGCCAAACCTCAGCCCACCAGCTATGGTAAAACTACAAATCCAATCATGAATCTGTCTCTAGGAGTCAGGCATGTGGCTGCCAGAGTCTTGTAATGCCTCAGAGGTCTTGTAGTTTTACCACAGCTGGAGGGCCAACGTTTTACTACCCCTACTCTTCCCATGGCAGCTACATAAAAGGTTATGTAGGGAGGTGAGGAGAGAAGCGGAGAAGCTTGGCCAGCACAGACAGTGAACATTCCCAAAAGAGAAAAGTACTATGGCGTGTAAGGATGAAGGGGGCTGTGCTAGGGAATTAACACTTTCTGGAGTGTCGATTTCCTAGCAATTTCAGCGGCTTGTTGCAAATCAATGAAAATGGTCTATGGGAAGGTAAAATGCAGCAAGTAAGCATTAAACATCCTTTTTACCTGCAATTATTTAAGTTGGTGACAGGGTCTCTTTATGTGGACCATTCACTAGCACCAACACTACCCTAGGACATGAGGGACTTTGCATTGCATTGAGGGATATGCGCATGATCTCTAACATGGTCAGTATTTGCATAGATTATGCCTTGAATTTAGGTGCTTCTTAAGTTTTAATGCATTGTGGTATCTTTTTGGAACCTGCCAATGTCAGTGAGTAATATAACTAGTGGCGGGTTCCTTTTTCATCTACTGTATCTCCATATCTCTGTCCTCCCTCACCCATAAAGAGAAGATCTGTTATTTTGCAATGTACTGGTTTGTCTGTAAAGGTCCATGTGTACCATTCAGTCCTAAATGTTTTTGTTGCAGATTCTATGGCCGAAAGATGCTTCACTATCTGATGTCTCATCCCGACTTAGACAAAATGCTGGAGAAACATGTACAGAGCAAGGATTTGCCTTCTATAAGGGACTTGATTAAACAAATACAGATCAAGGTAAGGAGAAGGCTTGTTGAAGCAGATTTTGGGAGATCACTATCACAAGACATTTTTCTGACCGAAAGCTTGGTTGATGTTCCGTTCTCTAGTTTCTAACAAAGCACAGACTGAATGGCGCTTCTCTTTACTACTTCATAGGCAATAATTGGGAGATTGCCCAACTTGTACACAAGTGCTGGGAGAAAGAGGGGGATCATCCAAGAGCCTAATTGTTCATTACTAAATAATCCAATCCCTTTGTGTATGGCCAGCCTTGTACTTACTCAGGTGTCCCTGGTGTGCTGCAGTCTTGTCATTGTGTTTCTTCTATGTGTGTACAGGGAGTAGGAGAGATCCAGGATGCACCATCTGCCCGTGGAAGAAGATCTTATCATGGCAGTGTTGGCAGCCTGAGAGCTTCTTCGGTTTCTCAGAATGCTCACAATACACTGGAGAGGTATGTTGAAATATGTTGTGTATATGATGGCATTTTCTTTGATATGTTTACGTTAAAATGAAATTAAAGTCAAAAGGCTCTAAGGTATTTCAAATGCTGCTTAAATTACTTACAGTGGATGCTGCTGCTTGATTTAAAGTTTTAGCTTCCTGCAGAAATCGCTGGTCCCCTAAGCACTGGTCCTAATATCTTGTTTTAGGCTGGTTCCTTTCCCTTGCAGGGTCCTATATAGTGATCCTTGTGTGTGTTAGTAAGTTGTGTGTGTGTCTCCACAAGCACACAGGCACAGCAAGGCAAGCCACTCTCCTCCATTCTCCATATTAGTAGGTGGGCAGATGCTTGAGACTGTGCTCTGCCCCCTGTAATTTTGGAATTGTACTGGACAGGAAGTTCAGGAAAACCGAGCTGAGAGAGTTGGTGCTGTTTGGAAATATGATGACTGTAAGTGCCTGGGCAAAAAAATGAAAGAAACACTTTGATGAGTGATGTATATTTGTTGGATCTGGATTCACTATGGAAAAAATGTTTCACAGTTCAATACTACTTTGTTTCCCACTGAGGTCCAATTTTGTAGGGTGGGGACAACATAATGGTCATATGATGTTAGTACTCTTCCATCTCAGTCACTGACCTGTATATCTGAATCTGAAGTTAGACAAGAAACAGTGAGGGAAGCATGAAAGCAGGAAATCTCTGCAGTCTGATATTTAAAGCTGAACTACAAGCATTCATCTAAATACTCAACTTACAGAATACAACTTACACAGTTAATGCAGAGAATAGGTGAATCAGACATCAGCACCAGCTAGAAAATAGGATGTTTTCTCCTCTTTTAGCCAGAATACAAGGTAGGCTTTAAATTAGTATTATGGTCCGGGTATTTTTCACCTTAATGCATTCTGTGCTTTACGGTAAAAAACGACCAGTTCCTTTTTCTCTCCCCCTGCCCATCGCACTTACCTGTCAACGCTGCTTGTCACCGCAGCCGGTCCCAAAGCGATCCTCCGTTCCCCTAACTTCCTGGTTGCGGGGGATGATACTGAGGGCAGAGGAGCCACAAACGTCTTCTGCCTTCAGTCTACATGTTGGCCGGAGAGGAGAGCCGTGGCCTGCCGCAGGGCTGTGTGAGTCTATGGACGCACACGACTACTGCGGGCATGGCCAGGAACGAGCACGCACAGGTGCCTCCACAGCAGCTGCTTAGCTGTAGGGGGCGGGGGGAGAGCGCTGCCGGGACCCACTAGAAAACAAGGAATATACAACTTTAAAAGAAAAAAATCAGCAGTTTTAAAAAGGTGCGCCTCCTTGTAGCAAATATAAAAAAAAAAAACCCCAAAGCTTTAATATCACTTTAAAGGCTAATGCACAGGGGTGGACAATACTGTCATTTATACAGATCTAAACACAGCAGTATTGTACTTTATGGGCCCATACACACTGGTCCATATTGGTCCACAGCGCAAAGCTCCGTAAACCAAAAATGCTAAATTCTGCTTTCAAGGACCTGGGTATGGAGCGTATGCATGTTAACGTTTATGTATACATGTATTCTATTGGTACCGCATGCATTCTGGCAACAGAGTGCTAGGCAGCAGGGGTCTATCTGTTTTTGGTGTGCAAATCAAAAACACATGAAAAAGTGGGGTTCCATCCTTCACATCAGAGTCTTCTTTACATTGGTAGTCTCCCTTCACGTTAGAAGGCTCCTTCTTTTACATCAGAGTCCCCCTCCTTTTACATCAGAAGCTCATCTGTACTACAGAAGCTTCCCTTCACATTAAAGGACCCATTTACACCGGGAGCCCTCCCTCTCACATCAGAAACCCCCTTTCATATCAGAATCCCTCATTTTACATCATAGTTCCCCGTTCACATCAGAGTCTTACCATCACAAAATTTCTAGGCACCCATGAGGAGGCCTGGTTGAGAAAGTCTGGTGTAGAGATAAGAATTTGCCTAGGATCTTGCCGCCAGCAGGATCCTATGTAAAATCATACCCTGTGTCCATGGAGCCCAAGGTTGTTTTGATCGTTTCATATTGCATTTGTTAAAATAAAATGGAATCCGGCATCATAATGACGGTTTCCCAGGTATTGGCTACGTGTGGCCCTACCAGAAAGAACATGTTGGATGTTTTAGCATCTGAAGCACTAGAGTGCCTTGGGCTACCAGAGCTCACAATATCCCACCCACTGCTAATTATATTTCATTTTTTCTGCAGCACAACATAGAGAGATATGAAATCGGTGAATAACTGACTCGCGAACAAAATATTTTGCCATAATCAAGGGAGATAGAGACAGAGAAAGCATTAGAAGATCCATCCATGGCTGCCCCTGAACAACTTCAAGCAATTAACACTAAGAAAGAGACACTATGAATACAAACACGTCTTTTGTAAAGTATAACCGGTGAAGTATTAAAAGTAAAATAACTGTATAGTTTTTTTATTTTATCACGTGTTATTGTGAATTATTTCTGTGATGCATAAATTTCAACTTCACCAAAAGATAGATGCCTCAAAGCTAGTACGGGTGCTGTACTCTTACTAATTGTGATTTGTTTAACATTTTATTTCCTGTTTATTTTGTTATGTACATGTGTGTATTCAGAAAAGAGATATGGAACCAATCTGAGCACATTTAAACCAAAACAAAAATGTAATATATTGCACCTCACCAATCCTGAGATGAGGTGGCTGCATTAGTTTCCTGTCCTAGATCGGTTACACATACTCAGTCTACTGTATCTACGTAGGGAACCATAGTTGTCACTCTAGGACAGGACTACAAACACGGCTCCAGTACAAGGAGGGCAGGGGAATCAGTAGTTCACAGAAGATGGCTTGTAAGGAAGGAAGTGAGATGGACGCTGCATTTTTGCCAAGATCAGCAGGTATTTCCTGTACTTTCTGAAAATATTCTTAGCCTGAAATAGAAAAATAATCCAGCCACCGTATCTAAGGACCGGTCTACTGCAATACATTAAATGTATTGTTCTTGGGTTTAGATTTCCTTTAAGCCAGCTGTACAACAAAATCAATTTGAGGATGTTTGTGTACTGTGGCTTCTGTAGCACCTCATTAATGTTGACTTCTCATTTGTGCCTTTTAGAGTGTCTTGTTGACTGTGTTAGCAAGAATGATAATGCTGTAATTGTGTCTGTTCATACAGCCTGAGCAAAAATTAGTGTAGCTCCAGAATACACTTCACACAGAAATTGCAGGACATGTGTGGACCAGATAGTGACAATAGGAATTCTGGTATGGTTTTACATCAACTTGAAATGGGATGTTATATATAACTTTTTAACGTAAAATGGTTTAAAATGTTTATAATGCAAAACCCTATTTATGAATGCTTATAGTAGCAGTGTATATTGGACAGATTGAGCATAATACGCACAGAACATAATTACCTCGGCTCGGGGTTATAATTGTTTTCATTCAGTAGATTGTGTCATGGGACAAGGCCTCCAGCCAATATTGCTCATTTAGATTTGTGTTATTGGGCACAGGTGCATGCGGGGTAAAACTATATTTGACCCATTGAATATGCTTAGCTTTTTATATAGGTAGATGCTGGCTCCGGACAGATGAGAGCACCCGATTTTACCACCAAGGTAGTGGGGCTGTGTATCCTAATTCAGTGAGTGGCTTGTTTTATTACAGGAGTTACACATTTTCCATGAGATGCACTACCTGGCATATTGCCACAAGTACAGTGTTGTATGTGGCATTTTAATATATTTTTACTTTTTGTAGCTCCATGCCTTAGCAGGAGTAGTCACAGTAGTTCTATGCTGCAGGTGTAGCTCCATGCCCTAGCAGAAGTAGTAGTCAAAGTAGCTCCATGCCACAGCAAAAGTAGTAGTCAAAGTAGATCCATGCCCCAGCAGAAGTAGTAGTCAGCTGCATAGGTTTTTCGATTCTCGGATAAATTGTAAATATCATCTGAATGTAAAACATTTTGCAATGGCACTTTAATAAACTTTAAGCATAATAGGAGAAGATATAAACACTCATTTTAACCATGCGATAGTAAATCGCATGAAGAATTATCTTGTAGCTTTATAGCCGGATAGCTCCGTGCATTCAGCAGAGCCATGTTGACCTCTTAGCTGCACAAAGCTATATTTATATTTGTGTTAATGTATAGCATTAATCTATAAAGGATTGACAAATTGGGTTTTGTAAATCCCAAATGGTACCGGAAGATACATATAATAATGATAAATATAATTAATCATACCAAATCATTTTTTTATATGGTTTAAAGTGAGGGGAGTTTGTTGAGTTCCTAATCAGGATTTTTTTCTTCTTTGTCTCACTCCAGGATCCTCCATTAAGGGGGCATTGAGGGCTTGGAGTTGAATCCAATTTTTTTAAAATAAATCATAACATTCAAGTTTATTTCCAGTCTTGCTCCTCTAATTTTTTTAATGAAAATTTGCTGCTAGCACTACAGCAGTTCAGGGTCATACCTATGAGTGGAGTGCACAGCACCCATTGTGACAGTCTATTTTAAATTTCCCCAACTACAGCCCCTCTTTTCAGACCAGCCATGGGTGGGAAGATACCTCCCAAGGTATGATAGTCAGGTAGATGCTTGTCCACCTTCCGTGGTTCGGGGATCCAATAGTATTTACTGTGCATCTCATTCAGCAGACTGAAGCAGAGCCTGCAAATTAAGAAGAGGAAGGATTTCTCCAGATGGCACAGAGATTCTGCAACAAATTGGAAAATGTCTGTATGTGGCAATAAGCTCTTCTGATGCTGGAAGTTCTTATTATTGCCTTCCAGGTATATACCCCTAAATGGATTTTCTTAGAGATGTCCAGGTACCAGTTCAGATACCAGTGCTGATACTTGGCATTTTCACGAGAACCACCAGGGTTGCAGCTGGGACCGGGCTCTGACGCTCCACCACTGTCCTGAAATCATTAGTCTGTATTGTTTTAGAAAAACTGTCACATGACAATAAACAAAAATGTATCAGTACTCGTATCTGTGAGTACTTGGGCAAGTATCAGTACTTGTATCTGTGAGTACTTGGGCAAGTATCAGTACTTGTACTTGCAAAAATGGTATCGGTGCATCCCTTTATTTATTCCAAAAAAATAATGCATTAAAACAGAGATGTACAAATCCCAGGAGCTCCGTATGCTCCTTACAAATGACAGCAAATGACAGCTGAGTTTCTCTCTAGTCTAGTCTTCTAGCTGGAAAAGTATCTGTACATGTACTTGTACCGAGTATTGTACTTGGTATCTGAACATCCCTAGTCTCTTCCCAGGATTGGGGCATTATCAGGCTGTTAAAGGGCAACCAGCAGAGAGGCCTATCTATGGGGCAAGTGAGAGAACAAGGGTCAGATGCCAACACTGATGCGTGGTGCAATCTTTGGGGATTTTATCACTTGTGTGTTTTGTATGATTTGGCGAGCCAGCCAAGAAAGGGGCCTGTCTTAGGGGTCATTGAGGGAACACGGGCAAACGTCCAATGCTGATGTATTCTTTGCCTTTGTAGCCTTTTGTAATTTCCGTGCTTGTGTGTATTTTATTATTGGCTCTATACACTTCATCTCCACATGTCAGGGACTTTTTGGGTGCCGCAATTTTCTATCCTTGTGTACTTCTAAGTCTAGGCAGCTAAGCTCCATCTTCCAACCCTTACTGGAGAAGTCTGCCTCGCCCTAGAGAGAGTTAAATACATTTACTCCTTGCAGTCATTCTTGCGTCAGTCAGTAGTAGGTGCTCTCTCAGAACTGTAGCAAAGGCACTGAATGTCTTTTTATAAAGGACTCAAATCATTCTTGGCTTATCTATGAAGCATTGATTTTCAATAGAATATACTTATTACTGGCCTCAGTACAAATCACACTAAAACCCAACTCGAGCGTAACCCGGGAAGTGTAAATACTTCAGTCAAGTTTTTTATTGCTAATCCAGGTTTGTGTCTGATACCTGCGACGCCGCACTTCACCAAATCTCATCACATCTGCAGCCTACTATCAGGGCTGCTCTCTGATTTATTATGAATTGTGCAGCATCATGCACTCTGCTTTATTGTAAATGAAGGGGGGAATGTTTTTACTCCCAAAACATGTTGGCTTCTGGCTTACAATATACAAGCAGATTTGTCTGCTAGAAACATTTGCTTAAAGCTGAACTCAAAAAATGTATTTGAACATATTCCACAACAGCTACAAAGGATATAAACCTACTTTGTGCTCTCATGCCAAAATATTACCATAAAAAAAGTAGCAATGACATTATCACTGTGCTGTACAAGGCCTCTGCAGAACTGTGGAAGGGGCTTAGCAATCCCAACTACGACAGTCTGCCTGCAGAAAACTATAGGAGGGGGCGGAGACGAGACCAGTCACCCTGCACAAGGAGAGAGAGCAGCAGTGACTGGTCTTTATTACAGGAGGGGGTGGAGACAAGACCAGTCACCCTGCACAAGGAGAGAGCAGCAGTGACCGGTCTTTATTACAAGAGGTGGCGGAGACAAGACCAGTCACCCTGCACAAAAAGAGAGAGCAGCAGTGAGCGGTCTTTATTACAGGAGGGGGCGGAGACAATGGCTCTGCTCATACAAGCCTGGATTAGTAATAACCAAGTTTCCACCCTTCACCCTGGTGACTACGCTTTGACAGTTGCCTCCTTCATATCCATCCAATCTCTGTCCAGACACAAGTCATCTCTACTGGTGATCCATCAACGTCAGCCACCCACATCTGTTTTGTTGTAGTATGTGTCCCACTAAAGAGATTTGCCACCATTTCCTGTCCCTGTGACAACAGGGAAAACACTTAGACGGTGGTCACTAAGACACAGGCAGTAATAACCAGACAGAGGTTGTAATCCTTATCCATTTTACAAAAGAGTCGAGTGAATTCTTTGTTTCTTGCGGACACAGAACGCAACCAAAATCCTGAGTGAGGTTCCAACCGTCTCCCACTTAGTACAAATCAGAACAAATAGAGTTTTGGCTGCAGTTGGCCTTTTCATGCAGCTGGTATTAGTGCAGATAGACTCCTAGCGGTACAACAAGTGCAAACTTTATTTTTCTATATATGTTTTTTCCTGGACTTTTGTTTGTATCAAAGCATGCTGGGAAACAATATAAAAGAATAATGTGTATTGTATTCTGTAAATAATTTACAGCTTCTTACAGAATTTATGACAGAAATCTATTACTAAAGGTACAGATGATGGGAATGGGATCTGATACATCTGTACTGAAAGCCTTACTGTCCCTCGGTAGTGTTGTGATGTATCTATGTACATATATATATAT